TTGAGTTCTCTTTCACCGTAGTCCGTGGCCATCGGAGACAGCATCCGTAGGCGTTGATTGGATAATACGCGACATGTGCTTATTTAGCTGGAAGCCATGATTTTGTGAAACGAAGAGTCAGAGAGGCTGATTTATTTGGCGTTTTCCTTTCCCATTTTCCCCATGGAGAGATTCAGACGGGCGACACTGTCAGACAATCCTGCAAAGCCATGCTCTGTAAGAACCCAGTACATCTTCACAAGTTCGGACAAGTCCTGACAGGGAGAATGTGTTCGGGGGAAATAAAAGCTTCTCCGGCGCATGCTTAATCTCCTCTCAGTTCCTCTTCTGCTCTTCCCCAGAGTGAGCTGAATTTAATGTTTTGTTTTAAATTCCTAAGATGTAGAAAGAAATTTATTGTTGTAGTTGGCAAGAACAAATCTAGCTATTTACAGTGACCAAGAGCAGTTTTGTTGGAATAAATGGACCCATAGAGCCTGATAGTGTGTGTCCTGCACCAGTAGAGTTGGTTGAACGTTCCCAATTACGGGCTTAGCTGGCTTGCCAGAACCTTTCCTTGTTGTTTTGGCACAAAATCCGGCATCTATGCCGGCCTGTGTCCATCATACATGCTAAATTTCAAGTACGATTCCATGGTGCTGATAGTAAATTTCTTTTTTCAGACAAAATGATAGCACCAATTCAGATATGTATTTATATTATGGCCTTCACCTCAGTTTTCTGAAGAACAAGCACTGGATTATATATATATATATATATATATATATATGCACACACACAAATATATAAAAGGATTATATTTATATAGAATTCATATATATATATATATATACATATAAAAATTAGATGAGTCTGTTTGCAGTTAGTCGAGCCGGTTCAGGTTCCACTTCAAAATGCCAGGAAAGTTAAAAAAAAAATTTAAAAGAACCCAGTTGTAAATGAAAATGAAAGGATTTACCTGCTTTACATCCAAACAGCTAACGAAATGTTTGTTTTTTTCCTGTCGTAAACAAAATGGGAGTGAAGAAGGTGTTTCTAAGCTGCCGGCGGCAGGCGGCCCGTCCGAGGCGCACAGACAGCTGATCGATTTACGGCCCCCTGGTAGCTCATGCCCTGCACTGGCCGCCGCGCTTCCTGAAGCCTGCAAGGCTGGGACCACACAGACTTCTGGCTCTCCTCCATCGCAGCCTGGCTCGCATCTCCCCTCTTTCACTCCTTCGTTCTCCCTCTCTCTCTCTCTCTCTCCGCTCCTTCAGACCCTCGTGGCCGACGGCGCCTGGCCTTGACAAACCCCCCCCCCCAATCCCCACCCCAGCCCCCAGCTTTTCTTCTGGCTGACGGTGGTTATGAACCAGTACGTGAAACAGTTCATTGTTTTATTCTCCGGCACGGAGGTTGTGGTCTCCTTTTTTTTTTCATTATGAAATATAGATGGATGTACTTTGTCCTTCCACGTTCTTTACTGACTGCCTAACAGTATGAAGACGCAGGCACCCTCACAGCTACAATGTATCATATTGCTTTATTAACATAATGTGTAGTCAACGTCTCTATTGTATAAGGTTATAAAATGAAACATCATTGTTAGCTCCTGGAAGACGCCGTTGAAGTAGAGTAGCGAGCTGTAGGGGAGCCTCACGCTGCGGGACCCTTATTTTAGCTTAGCCTTCATGAGCAGTGTGGGCTCACTAATGCGTCGATGCGTCATCTCTGCGCTCTGCACTCCTGCCCCGGGATGATGCTCCGTCGTACGTACTGTCCTCTCCCCTCTCCCATGATGTGTCATTTAAATTCCCTTCACCTAGCTGCTGGTTATTTAATAGCTATCGCAGAAAATGTCTCGCTAATAAAATCGCTATACATATGCACCATCAGTTATTGATAATGAGATGATCATATTAAGCGGTAAAGTACATTAAGTTATAGCTGTAGTCACCTTGTAACGTATCAAAGCATGGTCTCATTTTCCATGCTAAAACATTTCCGGGTGCCATCTGCAGCTGCCTTATATGTGATTCTGTTTCTATTACTCACAGTGACTGCAGTGAAAAAATTAAACAAATGCTGATTTAGTCGCTTTTACATAGTGATGTGTGTTAACAAGGAAGAAAAACTTAAGGGGAAAAAACCAGGAAGACTTTTTAAAGAAAGACATTGTGTTCCCTGGGACAATCTGACAGTCTAATTTCCTACTCCTCCCCCCCCCCCCCCACCCCGACTGTGCAAAAAGATGGAGGTGTTCCGCACCCTGCTGCAGCTTGAAAGCCTGCTCCCGTAAAAAAAAAAAAAAAAGAGTGCTTCCGCGTTTAGACCTGCAGGCGAAAAGAAAAATCTTTGTAACAGCTTAAAGCACGTGAGGCTGAAGGACAGCGCTGTAGATGGCGGGTAGCAGAGCACCACAGCCTGAATTTACTGGCCACCTGGGGCGCTGACATCTCCGTACGCAGTGTTCAGGTATTTATATGCACTTTAACGTCGGTAAGTTAGAGCATAACGGCCGCACAGGGTGATTTAGTCGATTTTCATGAATGAGCTTCGTTTATGAAGTAAGCCTGACATACTTTTAGCATAACAGGGTGAAATCAATTTGTCATTAGTTTCTGGGCGCCGTGTTATAAATGCGTCTGATGTACATAAAGGTTTCCTTGAGTTTGCGGATCATAAGAAATGGCCTCTTTGTGAAACTGATCCGAATCCATCACACTCTGAGCTGTCTGAGGTGACGTCTCAGAAATGTGGACATCTTAGAAGTTAGAACCCATGATTAAAGTCTCGCTGTATTTATATCTGACAGAAACCTACATCCTGGCCTTATTGATGGAAACTCCAGACTACTGTGTACTAATGAAGGCTCATGATTGGCCAGAAATTGTATTTGAAAACACAGCAATAAAATTGAAGGAGCCCAGATTACCTCTTATCAAGCCAACTCCAGCTCTATGCACATATTGGAATATTCGATCAAAACTTTGGACTGACAGTGAGGACTTACGAGTCCTTAATCTCAGTGCTCATTGCTTCACATTGGCAGCTGCTCCCTGGCAGGTCATCAAACATATTAGTAACAACCATCTTCAGTAACCCCCGGCACATTCTACAGATTAGCTTCGTTTAGCGTCAAGCGCAGCTCAGACCTACAGCGGATGTCTAGGTCAAAACAGCGACTCTCCTCTTATAAAGCGCTAGTCGCTCTGTTTCGGTCTTGAACCCAGTCAGGTTTTGCAGGAATGGAGGTAATTCAGTGTTGCCGTGCCAACTGGATGCTAGCCAGCTTCAGCAGGAGTCTTTCTCTGGTGTTTGATATTTACTTTACTGCCATTCAGAGGAGCCGGCCCAGGCGAGACAGACAGACTCATTTTGTCGAGGGAAAGAGTGAAAAAAAGAAAGTCCTAGCCATGCCTAGACCCTTTTTTCCCCTGTATTCTTCCACTGTGTTGACACAAAAGCTTTACCCCGAAAGGCTGCATGCACCTGTGGGCCTTTATTGCATTATTAAAGGTCTGTGCAAGGCAGCACTCGCATTGTGACGCGTCAGGCCGCGTTTTCGCAGAGCAGCCGGGGACGGGGCCTGGCTGCAGGGGACGTGGACATCGCGTGACAAGCTCTGTTTACGGCAACTCGAACACTTTTCTAAAGGAGGGGCGTATAAATGTTGCTTTATTATGTGTGTGTGAGTAGGATGTCGTATCCCTGATGTGACGCACGCGCTGGCGCCCCCTTTGGAGCGTTACTTGAACTGCCGTTTGTCGCTCGCAGAAGAGCCAGCGTCACTAGTACGTCATTAAGAGGAAGTTACAGGTGCCGGTGCGTATATTACGGCTACCAGCTTTTTGTATGGGAACCAGATCTGTTCACAGGAGGTACTGTATGTACAGTTTGGCTCTAGCATGTCATTGAAGTGAAAGTATTGGCAGAGCAATACGTTTACCATCAGGTCGCCAAAGCGTCAGAGCAGCGTCTGAGAAAATGAAGCTTCTGCATGTGTACTGGGCCTCAAAGGGCCACGGGGTGCTTTTGCCCCACTGTGCTGGGCCACGAGCACATGTTTGATATTCAGAGAGTAATGCTGTGGATGCAGTGACTGCGGCATTACAGTGATGCATTGTGGGTGCTTTCCCCTTGGCGTTGCTGCAACAATTATGGGAGCTCAACTGAGACGCTGCCGTAATGATATGGGACTATGGGAGCTCATTCTTCGTGTAATTGTAACTGGAGTCTGGCATCTCTGTCCTGTGCTGTGTCGACTCCTGGTGACCATTTGGACAGCATATCTGCTGAATGTGTATAGTCTGGCATTGTAAGCTTCCCACTTTCATGTTATTATTCGTTATTCATCAGCGTAGTAATTTTTAGCATCACTGTCGAGATAATGGAAACTGATGCTGTGTGTTACTGTAATGCTGGATAGCCGCTAACGCTCAGTATTACTCATCCTTATGGTTGGTGTAGCGATCGATGATGCCAGCTAATTCTTAGCGTTACTCTAATGGTGAATTACAGGAGCTAATTCTTGGCAGTACTGTCAAGTCACGTGGGGTTTCACTGCCACACCAACGGTATACAGTATCATAGCAAACAGTGGCATAGAATAGCCTTCTCCAGAACCATTATGCCATAGTTGTTTTTCACATGACACTTGGCATTTCTGTATGATGGACCCCATGACTAAATGTCACCATGGGCCCCCTAAACATATAAAATACATATAATTTTGCATATTCAATGGTCCTTGTACAGTGCTGGGCCTCCTAAATCTGTTGGGGTATTCATGCCCCTACTGCACCCCTGCCCGCTCTTTGTTAGGGTTACTATAGGTAATTTTTAGCGCTACTGTAACTGTAGGTATGGGTAGCTGATTCCTAGCGGTGCTGCAGTGTTGGATAATGGCAGGTGATTAGCGTGACTTATTGAGAGCGTTGATCTTAGCGTTATGGTTACAGCGGGCTGTGGCACGGCGCTCGTGGCTTTACTGTAATGGCTGGGTCTTTGTGCTCTGGCAGGACACAGACAGAAGCTGGAGGACCCTCCAAAGCCCGGCTTGTTCGCGGACCGTCTGAGTGAGCTGGAGCGCATCCGTCAGACCACCATGAGGGTTACCGTGCCAACGCAAAGTCCCCGCCCGTCATTGAACGCAGGGCCAAACTCCTTCAATCAACAGGGACAAACCCAGATCACTGGTGAGGGCAACGTTAGGAGAAATAAAGCATCTTCATTAACCCCAGATGAACCATGTATACTAAAATATGCAGAGCCTCTTTACAGTGTAGCAATTTATTGCCTCCTTATGACTTCAAGCTTCTGTGGCATTTTGTTAATTAATAAATTTGTCAGGGGTACAGAGCACTAGCGAAACTACAGTCAACCAACAGTAGATGCACTAATGACATTGAGTCACAGTGATTTCTCTGCTATCTCTCTCTCAATGTGGCTTATAAAATATGATTATTCATTATTATTAATTATGATCAAAAAACCCTGTCCACCTCAAACAAAGACAAATTCAGGTTTCTTTGGTGTTCAGAATGCTTCTGTGGCCTGTCAGTACCTTGTCTTTCCTGTCCAGTTACTGTTCAATTGATACCTATTAGTACGTATGTAGGATTCCTGTATAGAATCTCCAGCTTACCTTCTTGTGGAGTGTGATCGGTGAGCATTAGTGAGTTAAACTACACTGTAGGAGTTACTTGCGTATAAAGGGGTGCATTGTAATGTGTGAAACGGGCTCCAGCGTAACGCTATGTGACTTGCGAGTTCTGCTCTTTTTGGCATGGTGTGTGCAAGCGCTCAGGTGATTCCACTGTCCTCCAGGCCTTTTTCCATGAAATGCAAGGTGCTTTTGTGACACTGCAATGTGGGTGATCAGCAAATTTGAGCATTTCATTAAAGCTCGCTCGATCCTTTAGTTTATGTGTCCACTGGAGAAACAAACCTACAAAAATGAGACTATTAGTAATTCTAGCGGCATTCTACGTGTCTTTGTTTACAACCATGTCGTTATGGAAACAGGGGTCACCAGCTCAGCTTGGTAATTGCCCAGAAACTCCATTTCCTTCCTGGTTTGACGCTGATTTCAGCAGGGAGATCAAACATAAGATCAATCCAGGACACACGCTCACTGCTCATTAAGCTACATCGTCTGTTACCGTAATCGAGATTCCAGTGTCCTGCTGGCTGAGAATCCCAGTGTGCCAAAGATGATGATGATGTGGAAGAAGGGATGAATGCATGAGGACTAATACCTGGATGAACGAGGTCATGGATGAAGATGCAAATGGATGATGACACTTGTGACTAATGGCTGAAAAAATGAAGCAAGATAAACATAAGAATTGTTTGCCGATGGTGATACTTTTTCCTCGTGATGTTTGCCGGGACGACGTACTCGGTGAACTCACGGTGTTACCCTCTCCCCGACAGATCCGCGCCAGTCTCAGTCGTCCCCTCCCTGGTCCTATGAGCAGCCCTACACGCCATACCTGAGCCAAATGACGTCTCCGTCCATTCACTCCACCACACCTCTGTCCTGCTCCCGTGCCACGGGGCTGCCCGCCATCAGCGATGTGCCCAGACGGCTCTCAGGTAACCCCTGTGTGCAGGTGCGCCAGTGCCCCTCCCTCTCACATGCCTGGGGGAGGGATGATGGAAAGATAAAGCCACACAGACATGACGGGCTTGTTTGACGGCAGGGCGATCGAGGAGGACAGCCTCCAGATATCAAATTTATGTATAGAATTTGTTTGCCTTTGCTGGTAGAGCTTATTCATGAAGGGACCTATTTTTTGCATGACTATAGCGATGGGTAGCTGTTATCTCTATTAATGTTACTCAGTCATACTCATTACTATAGTGATAATGGAAGGTAACTTAAGTGTTAATGTAATGATGGGTAAATGCTGCTATTTCTTTGCATTACTCATCCTTAGTGTTAGTGTGGCAAGAGCTAATGGCAGCTGATTTTTAGCGTTACTGTAACGATAAGAGCCACCTCATTCGTAATGCTGCCTCGTTCTGGAGGATGAATTAGCACCCCCGAAAATCTCTGCTTATGTTATCCGATAGGCACCTTTGCTAAAAAGTATCCATTCATATGTCTTAATTTAAACATTGTAATAGCATAACAAATAAAGAAAAGCCTCCGCCATGACATCACCCATAGATTTTATAGATGGGGGAAAAATATTTAAAAAAAGAAAGTCTGTGATGCTTTGGAGAAAAAAAAACCACCAACATGTTTCCAAGCCTCAAGAGCTTCTCCAAAAGCGTATTTTTCTAACGGTGAAGAGAGATTATGTTTCCTTATTTCCTCCATTAAAACGTTTGATCTTTAGAGGAGTATGGGTAATAACAGGGGAGCAGGTAATAACAGGTCCTGCACAGAGAGAAAAAAAAGCCCGTCTGCCTCTGTTTATAGTGGGATCTGTGCTCCTGAAGCAGCCGTCGAGGTAATTCCAGTGACCCTAATGCACTGCATCGAGAACGGCTGCACTGCAATTTGTATCTCTGTGCTGGGGTGCTGCTTTAAAATTTCAATTCAAATAAGTTTCACTTTTTTTGCCACCTGTCTGTATTGCTGCCAGATCATTTTCTTTTTTCCTTTTTACCTTTTTTTTCTTGCGTTTTTTTTGCCACGCACCCTTGCGTTTCTTCTTAAGCCCGGAGCAAATGTGAGAATTTAAATTACTCCTCAGCGTGACTTGTTATTGGCAGGTCTGAAGCCCGTCCAAACTGCCCTGTCGGATTTGATTAGTTTAGATTTTGTCCCGCTTTCATCTTGGGGATGTCAAGCTTTGTTCTTTTCTCAAAGAGCCACACACACCCATGGTCTTAACGTCCGTCCGTTTTGGTTGGAAGGCTCCGGTCCGTTATGCGAATCCCGTGTAACCGCTCAATTTTCACGTTTCCCGCCAGCAGTGGGGCCACCTTAACATGTGGCCTTTCCCAGCGTCATCGGGCGGAAATCTTTTTGACACACACTTATAAAAATATAGGGGCTGCTTTATGTGCGGACAGGCAGTGGGATATTGTGAAATAAGGTGACTTTTCTGCAGTGTTGTCTGGGATATAATAAGACGATATAATATAGTGAAGTAGCTGGATTTTCACCAGCACATCTGCAATGTTTATTAGCGGGGGGGGGAGGGGTTTGAACACCTCCCAGTTCACAGTGAGTGCTTAGCCTGTGTTAGCTCCTGGAACTATAAACAAATTATACACGCTTATATAAGCTATAAGTGCTTATATATGTGTTCCCTGTAGTACCAATTATATTCAGTCTCTAACTGCACAGTACCAGTTGAAAGTGATAATAATAATAATAATAATAATAATAACATCTGCCTTCTGCAGTGCTCCAAATTTTGGGATAAGACCCCTTGTCATACTGGTGATGACTTTGCTGAGGATAGTAACTTTGTTGTTCTTTACTGCAGCTCAGTCTTGCATAAAACATCCTGTTATTATTATTATTTTAACGACAGATGTCTGATAACGTGAAAAGGGGCTAAATGATCTTGAGCGACCACACACACTGGGAGGGGGCAGCGGCGAGGCACTGGGAGCGGCCCCCAGAGGGCCAGGGGCCGCGGCAGACGGGGCGACGGGGAGGACGCCTCGCGATTTATGGAGGGAGGAAGCGTTTCCCTGCCCGGCGCAATGGTAGCCGCAGCCTATTAGCGGTTTTTAATTTTTTCGAAATCTCAGCAGAGGAGCCGAGAGATGAGATCTGCCCCCCTCCCCGGCTAATCGGAGACACGCCGCCACATCTGAGGCTGCCCCAGCTCATTATGCCGCTTTCCCCCCAAAGTGCTTCCATATGGCCGACTCCTGATTCATCCCGACTGGGCGCTTTTTTTCCGTTTCTGTAGAAATGCATCACACACGCATACAAACACACACACACACACACACACACCAGTGCATGCAGACGCGCAGGCAGCCGTGCAGACGGACTCACAGATGAGAAATGCAGCCTGATCTCTGTGCTGCTTGTGTGGCTCTGGTGCCTGGAGTTTGTCCCAATGTAATATACAGTCCTTACAGAAAATAAGTCTGAAACTTAGCCTTGCGAGTATTAACTTTAAAGCGAAGTGTTATTGAATTAAAGTCAAGGGAGAGAGCAAGGAAAAGGATGTTTATGGAAAGTGTGTAAATGTAAAAACATCTTTCTCAGGACTCATTGATTGTTAATGATGTAATAATGATGAAGATGTGATGCCGGTCTGGTTAAAATATCAGATGTGCGATTGTCAGTAATAAAAAAAAGAAATGCTCTGCTTAGTGGTTTAAGACCCTCTACGTTTCATTCATCTTCTTACATATTTAGTTTGTAAGTCTGTCAGTCATAAACCCATAACTTTTGGCCTAAAAATGTAATATCCTTTAACAGGATGTTCAGAGAAAATATATGTATTTTTCATAGAGCTTTGATATTATGGCACTGGGGAATATTTATTATTATTGTTATTATTATTAATAATTATTTGCAAACGTATGTATTCTGCAATGATGGTGTAACACTGGCATGATAAAGTCTGTAATCTAACTCTGTTGCTCCTGTGTCTTGTTATTTTTTATGCTGTACGAGCCTGAGCAGCTTTTTTTGGCCCTGTCTCTGTTCTCCGTGACCCTGTCCCTCTGACGCCATGGTGACGTCACCGTCTGTCTCTCTGCTACCCCAGGAGCCTCAGATCTGAGCCCATTCTCTGACCCGCGGCAGTTTGCTGGCCTCTCCTCCCTGACAGAGAGCCGCTTCTCCAGCCCCAGGATGCATTACCCTGCCACCTTCACCTACACGCCCACCCCAGTCACCTCGGGCATGTCCTTGGGTAGTGCCCATTACCACACCTACCTGCCGCCTCCTTATCCTGGATCTACCCAAAACCAAAGTGGACCGTTCCAGACCAGCAGTACCCCCTATCTCTACTATGGCGCCTCTTCTGGGTCGTACCAATTCTCCATGGTCCCAGGGGGAGATCGTTCACCTTCCCGGATGCTCCCACCTTGCACTAGCGCCTCCTCTGGCAGTTCCCTGATCAACCCCAACCTCAGCAGCCAGACGGATGGGGTGGATGCCGACGGCAGTCACAGCAGCTCCCCTACAGTACTCAACTCCAGTGGACGAATGGATGAGTCCGTCTGGAGGCCATATTGATGTTCCAGGACCACAGAGCTTGCAAGAACCACAGTCAGTACTGTACCAATATAACATGGTTTTCTAAGCACAAACTTTTATTAAGGAATCATCTTTTTTTAAAGGACCATTGTGAATATTTTTATATTTCAACATTAACTTTTTAATTGGGATGCTGATGGAAAGCTCTGAGGAATTTCCCTTAAATATTTATTTATGTGACTGTTCCAGATGCAGGAACAGTGTCAGATGTAGGGGGCACCCTTGAGCAGGAAAGGCTTTTCCATAAACAAGGATATCATGGTGACATTTTCACGTTCCTCCACGGAAGTAGTGTCAAATTGAATGACATTTATTAATTAGCACATTTATAGAAATGACAAGATTCCCATTTTCTACTCACATTTAGCATGTGCTTGAGGCTGTTTGCTGGGAAATACGCACACATGTGTGTTGCGTGAAAATGTCACATCTGATTGTATGGGGAATTCAGTTTAAGTATTTCAGAATTTCCTATTACAATTTAAATGTTTTTACTGGTTTTTTTTTTTTTAAATAGTTAACTTGTTCAGTCATGCTGGTACTCAATTGAAGTGTGTGTGTGTGTGTGTGTGTGCACGTGAATGTGAGAGAGAGTTAGGGAAAGTCTTATTCAGTGGTATCAGAAAAAAAATTTGGCAAACATTGTTTTAACTTAAACAGTAAATTGTAGCAGCAAAGGGATTCCGGTATTGATTTAAAATGAGAAATAATATCATACAAAGTTATAAAATGGTTTAATGTATTCAATAGTTTAAAGTTAATTTTAAAGCCTATGTAATTAAGTTAACCGTGATTTTTTTATAAGTAATTTATATAATTAGTGCGATTTTCTATTTTGGAAACCCAAAGATTTTTTAAAATTGTTTCTTATGTTGCTTGTGTTAAGTTAAAAACTGTGGAATGTCAAACATTCGCATGTGGGACACCGTGACAGCGGTTTCCAGAAAAAGCAAGCTGGGATTGACGTCTGTCACCTCATATTGCATCCAGTCCTGTCGCGTCAACAATGAGACTAAGAAACCTATGCAATCTACCTTATTACGCAGTAAAGTAATAACTACAAGCGGGTATTTACTTTATAATTACACAAAAATCTGTCCTTTACAGTGAACTCAAAGCTGTAAGCTGAGCGTACAAGTGCAGTGTTTCCATTCGTTTGGTGGTAGGTCGAATAGGACAAAATATCATAGCGTTTATCACATGGTGCTTTAAAAAAAAATGTCAGAAGACTGTTTATGAATAAATTAAACCTACAAAGCCTTTGTGTATAACATTATATGAAGTAAAGCACTTACATGAGAAACATTTACCAGGATAAAAATGACCAGGTGAAACAAACATTTGACTACCTTGCCCAGTTTTCATCTCACGGTTCCCAGAGTTATGTATATAAACAATCTTGCTGTGAAATGCAGACATAAGCAATAAAGGGACAATGGCAATTTAAATGTGTTGGTCACTGGGGCATATAAACTGCCATAAATGCTGGAGAGTAATATTCTACAATATTCTGAAAATTGTTGCTCCTGTTTGACACACAGCCATGCATTTCAGATTCTGACAAGCCAAAGAGTGTCCTGGTATTGTTTTATTTCTCTTATTGATTTATTAGCAAGTACATTTTAATAAGAAATGGCAGTGACCAGAATTGTCTGTTGAGAGCAGATCCTTCTCCTGTTGTAAACTGGCAGGGGGGCGGGGTGTTTGATTATTTTCATTTTTTATGGATATGGATAACAGGTACAGTGTATTTTTTTTCCAGATTAATAATAAATGTGACTGATTAACAGTTGCAACCTTTGTAAAAAAACAAACTTTTTTTGACTATTTATATGAAGCATTTATATTTCAAAAATGTTGTATGTATTTATTTTCTCTGATTGTTAGAGAAGTCCAGCGTAAGAAATAATATATTTTTCATCAGTGTCGATTATGTCACTCAATCCCTTGCGTTAGTGATGATTAGCGATTATGATTAACTTAAGAGGAAGGAAAAGGCACTATATTAGCAAAGTTGGTGGCAAGGCTGCTGTGTTTGCTTTATTCATACAATGAAATAGTACAATATTAAAGAAAGTTCTTTATTACACATTAGGGCTGCGGGCAGCAACCTGGGAAACCTTTGTTGTAATTTTTTGTAATGCTTGTACAGTGAAGTTCTCTTCTACTTTTGCTTCAGGTCAATTCCACAGTCAGAAATTGAATATACAGGAAGTGGCAACCATCTAATCTGTATAAAAGTAGGAGATGTAGAAGCACATGGACATCGGTGGCCACTCAAAGGCAGCCCGCTAGTCCGGATTCCAGCCTCGGTGACATTTGATCAGTGTTTCCCAATCCGGCCCTCGGGGATCCACAGTCGGTCCACGTTTTTGTTCTCTTAGAGCTCCCTGCCAGACAGTCCGGGTTTTTTAGCTACCGGGAGCTGGGAGGGAGCAAAAACCTGGACTGTCCGTGGGTCCCCGAGGACCGGATTGGGAAACACTGCATTGCTGACATGCCGGCTGTTTGCACCCCCTATAGTGCCTTGCCTAAAACGCCTGATGAATGTCGCACTGCCTCCTCCTTACCGTGTTGGTCAGGAAGCACAGTTTCAGCCTCACTAACTGCCCATTCTTGATCTCTCTAAACATCCACATATCAAATAAGGTACATTTCCAGCAGACGGAGTCGGAGATAATTTACTGTTGAATATGGGGTTCAGTTCTGGTGAAAACCGAACCGTTTTACCCACTTAGTTCAAAGTAAATAAACTGCACAGTTTAGCGATGAAAGGAGGGCAGACGGAGTAAACAACAGCTCCAGGAAAACAAACCCGAATCCCCGATTGCAGGTTTACCAAGGTACTGTACAGAGCTGCCCCGGTTCTCCTTCCTCTTGGATGGATCCCGGAAAAAAAGCCCAAAATCCTTCAAACAAATAACTTGTCTTGGAGCAGAGAAACTTCATTCAATCAAATCACCACAAGAGTTTTCCTAAGCTTTTACTAACAAATTACCCCCCCTCCCTCCTTCTTGGTTACGGAAATGTTTGTCAGCATTTAAGTAACATAAAGTTAAATTATGTTTAAAATAAGCTTGAATTATTATTAAATTAGTTTTGAAGACAAAGGCCATGGCATGGCAATTTGACTGAATTATTGCAGAAATTATGTGCCACATGTGATGACTGTAATATGGGCAATCATATAAAGTTCAGAGCTGTAATAATGGAATATCAGTGTAGTCTTTACAGTCACAGATGGTTAATGCAAGGCCTGCTCCTTACGATAAAAAGTAACATTTCATTTCTTGTTACTTTCCATGCTTTGGAGAAAACATTCACACAGATTCTTACACTGCGTCTTTCCTCAGTTTCAGGTGTACCTTCTCCAAAAGTGGTACAGTCACTGTTAGACTTTTACAATCTGTCGACAAGCCCAGTTATCAGTGTTGTGCAGGCGAAATAAATTAATTCAATTAAAATCAAGACAATTTATGCTTGTCTAAAGGTACCAAAGATTCCCAATTTTTTGCCGGGACTGTGTGTTTGTAAGTGTTTTATGCTTTGCTGAGTTCAAGATAAAATTTACAAGGATACAAATAAGACCTGATAGGTAAACATATTAACTACGGTTTGGGATAACCTATCAAATTCATTTAAGAAATATTTCTGAACACCTGATTTTTAAAATTCTTTATACTATGACATGCTTTTGTACCTTGATTGGATCAGATTTTGGGAAAATAAAACAAACTGAAACTCCCAAAAGGTATGCATTGGTAATCTACCGCCATTATCCAGCATAAAAGATCATCTTATAGTTTACTGCAACTATAACAGCAGCCAAACATTGTTTACAAAATGTTTACAAACCACAAGCCTTTTTGATTTATATATAGGTAGATGTTTGTATGTTTGACAATACGTATGCTTCATGCTTTTGAATTAATTGTTATTTTGGGCTCTTCCATATTGTACAGAAGTTTTTGTATGTGTTTGGGTCCGGTTCTGTTTTATCCTAAAGCATAATTGATGCCAAATAACACCTTCAAAAAGGGCCAGTTTTATACAGGAAATGAGGGATAATTTCATGATTGCATTTTGTTTCAAAATAAATTTCAAAATAAAAGTTGCTTTTGGCATGTTAGTACTATTGTATTATTTCGACTTATACTGTATGTTTACTGCCCTGGCCAAAAACAATCATCATCCTGGAATAGGACCATGCCATTAGGAAAGAAAAAATCCATTGACGGGGTAATCTGGCTGTTCAGTAGGTACTCAGCTCAGCTGACTTCACCTTATCGCTGCAAAATGTTGCTGAGCTGTAATAATGATCCAATCATTGGCTCTTAAGTACTTGCTGATTTAAGCTGAAATGGTAACTTTTTTTGGCCAGGCAGTGTATGATGGGCGTGAGGAAGGACCGTTGATGGAGAGGATGCTACAGCAGACACAAATAGACACACCAGGTTACGTATCCCTGTGGAGACGCCCCCTTAAGTATCATTGTAATTGTTGATATCATTGTTGTTTTTCAGCACTTTTTCCTCGTCGCAGTATCTTTATCATACCCTTGCCAGTTAATTTCCCCTAAATACAACAGAAAGAAAAACCATATTGTAAACACAAACACAAAAATGACAACTTAAACAAGACGACATACAATTTAACCATTCATCATGTTTTTAGTGATAAACACAACTGTGTTATTAAAAAATGTATTCAAATTAATTTCAAAAGCTCTTATCCAGCGTTTAAAGATTTGTCCCCAATTTTCAACATGGGATTTTTTTTTTATAATTATTAAAAGTTTTATTCCAGTAGTATGTGATTATTAATGACACCTGATGTTGCAAAGAACAATCTAATCATCTTCCAATTAAAGTCCAAGGGTATATTTGTAATCTGGTTGTGATCTATGATGGCATCCGTTACTCTGCCATCACCCTTGACAGGAAGCCTCTCTTCCTTTTGCCAAATGTGAGAACCAGGATCTGAGAATCTGAGCCGATTTAACATTGTCAAGACCTAGCAGATACAATGCAAACACACATACGGTATCTACAGCGGTTTAGGGCAAAGGGCCCTTCCTCAAGGTCCCAGCAGTGAAATCACTTTGTTGACCGCGGGGTTTAAACGAGCAACCTTCTGACTACGGGCACGGCGCTCCAGCCCACTCAGCCACACACCACCCCCGCACGACACCCAATGTGTTTCTGTGAAGCGCCGAAAATATCCCATAATGAACAGCTCGTAATTCGAGCTGGAGCTGAAGTTCCTTCAGCGCGGTTTTGGTAGCAGATAGAATGATTAAACGCACGCACCTGTGACTCGTGACCCAGAGGTTGCCGGTCAGACCCTCAGGAAAAACAGCGTTGCTGTGATCAGCAGGTAATTTCACCGCAGCTGCTCCAGGGAAATATCCACTTGCATGTATGGCTGAACAAGATGCAAGTCACTCTGAATGAGACGCTATATTATATTCTGTCATGTAAGAGGCTGGTGGCTCATATTGCACAATGCTCTGGCGAGGATCCAACCTTCCAAAAGCTACAGCATAGAAAGGGGTTTATTCCTGGAAATTTAGTATTATTGTTGCAACTAAAATGTTTCCCTATGTTTACACAGAGATATGTGGTGTACAAACAACTATTTGTATTTAAAGAAATGTTTATATGGCGTTTATATATATATATATATATATATATATATATATATATATATACTCTGCTTATCAGTAACAGTAGAATATTAGTAGGACATTTAAATTGTTTTAATTCTATTCACGAGGGCAAAAGCCCAAACACCAAAGCATTCTCCTGACATAAACCATTAGCTTTTTACAGCCAAATTTCCAGAATAATTCTTTCTGCAAAATGTCTCCCCTGCAGGTATAACTGACAAAGAGTCCTAAGGGTGAAAAGTACAAGGACATCGATCGAGTTAGTATTTCCATCTCTAACCAAAGTGTTTCCCTGACCTCAGTAGGGTCACCAATTACACACGTCAGTGTTTATGATGTCATCAGTCAGTGGCCAGGAACTGCACATCTCGGGGGCTTTGGTCATACCGGTTTCGCTTTGTTTGGTGACTGGGACAGCTGCACTCCCAGGTGAGGGGCCTTTACCATCCAAATAATTAGTTCATTTTTCAAGATTGAGCAAAACGTCTGCACCTCAGATCTTACTCCATGCACCGTTTTTTTGCATTTCTACCCGTGCTTTCCTGACCTGGCTCTGCGAACCATGACATCATTTTTTCCTAAGGTGGGGGAATATGTACCAGCTTCAGCAATGGATGTTCAGGGAGATATTGCGATGCGTCGTATTAACAGTCCCCCGATCGTCACTCGCTAACATGTGTCCAAGGACAATCCTCTGGCTCGCTTTACTAACGAAAAAAAAAAAACAGCGTCCTTTGTTTCTGAAGTACAGGTCTGAAAGCAGAGCCACCTGGCAGCAGGCGTGCAGGCCGAACCCCCCCCCCGGCCCGACTTACACAGCTCCCAGGCCCGATTTCCCCAGGCCTGATTTATGTCTCGGGTCAGGCGGTGGGGCCCTGATGAAATATGTGCTGCTGCTGGGAGGGACTTGGACAAACGAGGTGTGAAACTCGCGGGACCGAGCAGGCGGCGGCCCCGCAGTCACTAAACACTCGCGGCGTGTTGGCAGGTTGCAGCACTGCGGTCTGAAAGGACCCGACCCTGAGGGAGAGAGAGCGGGGGGGGGCTGGCGCGTGGCGGCCAGGGATGTGCCCGAAGCGGAGTCCATGAGAGGCAACGGCGCGTTCCCAGAGACACTGATCCGCTTTCCCGAATATCAGCCTGGCTGCAACTCAGGTGCCATTTGATTGGGGAAGAGCGTAACACGTGGATACATTATCTACAGCTACGTTTGTGGGGGTGTCCTGCAGACACACATTTTACTGTCATTAAAACCCCCCAATGCATTTCAAAACAGATTACAAGTTTTATCTATTTGCGGTTCTGCTCTTTAAGTAGAGTTAGACACTACATTTACACACACACAGGGAGACTGGAGAAATTATCCATTTAAAGAAAGGGAATGACTTCTTATTTCTCCCTGAGGATTGAAGATGCACTCAAGACAAACGTTTTTCTTTTTATATATACCTTTCACGCATTCAAAAGAAACAAATACTTCCTGTCTAAGGTCTAAAGCGACTAAGCTGTAAATCTACACGATAAATCTAAGAAAATATTAGACAAGCACTACATAAAAAAGAAAACACTACATAAGAATAACATAAGTAACCAAACTGTTACCTCTACGGTTGGCGTTTTAACTGATCATGCAGACTTGTTTATCTTATAAATGGCTATGAGGATGGTGATATTTGAGATCTGCAACATGCCTCGCTATTTTGATGCCAGTCAAAACAGAAACCATTTTAATGCCGGGAGGTCGAGGAACTGCACAGAAAGCAACGACGCATGTTTATTTCATCTTAAAACATGCGTGTTTGTAAATAACGTCAATAAAATGCAAACACGATCGCGGCATTTTCAAAAGCACCCCCTCCTTTTCTGTTATATGTCCTGCAGACATCACTAGTGAAGCCCACTCATTACCCAAAGCCGAAACTGCTCAGTGAGCCCACGACAGAAAAATGTGTGACTGCACATGAGAACCATATTCCCGCTCCAAGACTGTAAACACAGCACAGACCCCGGACCTGTATTTGAAATAGGAAGTGAACGGAGCTTGTGTTTCCACAAGCCCTTACCCTAAGTTGGAAAAATACTAACAACTGCTAGTTTAAATTTTACATTGGATTTTGAACAAAACATGAATGTCTAGTTCAGCATGTAAAAAAAAAAATAACTGCAAGAAATAAAGCTATGTTACAAGGTCTTGGAACAATACAGTCTTTCATGAGAACGTTCAAATGGTTAAAATGGAACATATAACACGTGACATTCTCCAGAATGAGTTGTTTTGTTTAAGATGTATAACTAACATAAACACTCAAAGAGGAACAGAACAAAGTCACGACTCCCTTTTGATTTGGTTTTCATAAGGATGGAAACCGTAATAGCTAAGGTCCTAACCTGACAAGAGGTACACTCATATTTTCTCCTTTTTTCTGTTATCCGTCCATCAATCCATCTTCCAAAACCGCTTGTCCAGTTCAGGGTCACCATAAGCTCAGAGCCAACCCCATACATACGCAGAAGAGGTCACAAGGCAGCTGACATTGAACTAGTCCATCGTAGTGAATATTCCCAATCCATGTCTTTTTCTAGCTAGTGGGTGAATCAGGAATTATGCATTATCAAATTATAAATCATTTAGTCTGAGTTGTTAATTGACACTAATGTTACACAAGATTTTTTAAATCTAAAAATGACAATTCCTCTACTCTGAGGCCAGGGGGAGCTGTTACAAACAGGCAAACGTCTCAGAAAAAGTCTTAAAGGGAATTTAAACAAATAGTCTGTGTGCGCATTACGGGAATAACAAACTTAAAGGTTTTGAATTTATATAATATGTTAAATTATTTTATGGCATGTTAGGACCACAAAAAGTTCTGAACACGTTATATACTGCAGTGAGTGTTTTATTATTTCGAAATTAAAGTCTCCTTGATAAAAGTGTAACAAATGTTTGCTTGTGGTTTTGCATGCTTTTGTGGCTAGTTCTATTTTCTTATACACAAAAATAGGAAGACAAAGCTCTGATGTGCCATTTCAACTGGTGGTCCTGCCATTATTCGAGTACAGAAACGCGTGTTACGCCATTGAATAATGTCATGGTTATGGGAGCTTGTTTTAATGTTGTTTTCACACAATGTTCTGTTTTCTCAAGCCAGGGATTTATTTTCGCACTTTTGTATAATTACCCCTCGTGGCTTTGTATTCTATAACGCAGTATTTTGCCCTCTGAAATATGAAATAACGTGAATAATGCACATCTTGATAAACTAATGGCATCTAACTCTATATATAAAATCACCAGTCAACAGAATAAACAGATATCTTTCAAATTATTATTATTGTACTAAGGTATTTTAAAAATGGGAAATAAAAAATTTATAACAGAAAGTGGAAACACTTTGGAAACCCATTCTTTTTGTACTCCAAAAACCAAATTGACCATCTTGTTAGAGTTTGAGGCTTATATA